TACTGTACTGCACCGTACTGTACTGTACTGCACTGTACTGTACTGTACTGTACTGTATTGTACTGCACTGTACTGTACTGTACTGTACTGCAGTGTGCACACACAACACAGCACAGTGTGTGTGTGTGTGTGTGTGTGTGTGTATGTGTGTGTGTATGTGTGTGTGTGTGTGTGTGTGTGTGTGTCAGGGTGTGTGTGTTTTGGTGCTGGAGGAGGCTGCAGATGAAATACATAAAAACAAATAATAATAAAAGCAGTGACAGTGCAGGGCTCAAAGGAAATCTCCCACCACGAGACAGAGGCTCATTAAAGATTCAGCTGTGAAGACGCACACACGAGTCTGAGGATTTATTCAAATAAACAGCTGCTTTCAAAATGAGTGGACTACCTGTTTTTTTGTCTTTAAAATATGAAAAACAGAACTAGTTTATTAGAAACAGTTTGCAGTGGTCCAGAGTTCTTCCTCACTTCCCTTCTGCATTCAGAGCATCCTAATGATTCATTAGGATGAGTTTAGAAGAACTTTTCCCAACTTTCACACACCACAGTGGAGTTTTACTGTCAAGGTGAAGCTAACAACAACCAGCATGCTAACGTACACTTTTTGATTATCGGACAATACAACACTTTATATGTACACACAAAAGAACACAGTGGACTTATTCTGACCTGAAGAGCTGCTGGTACACTGTATCTGTCCTGGGGCAGTTTTACTCATATACAAGGGGAAAATTCAATACAGAGCCTTTAACTTGCTCTTATATTTAAATCGATTCCTGCACGTTTGAGTAATGTTACTGTAATGTTCTGCATTTGAGTGCACAGAAAATACCTGTTTTCACCTACCCCCTATCTTTATTTAAAGGCTCTGTTTTCTGATGCTGTTCTAATGTGGTTTCCTCATCACAAACAGACCAGGAGTTGGGTTTTGTTTTATTCACATGTTTAACACACAAACTGCACATTTAGTTCTTCTCTCAAACAGAAAACACTCTGTTTCACCTTGTGATGTCATGTAGTAATACAGGAAGTGCTCCAGTGTGTTTTTAAACTCCGTACACCTTCGCTAGAATCATTGGATCTTACACTGTCACATAATCATTTTTCAACAATAAAAACATGTGATGAAAATCTACTTATTGGAATCATAATAACATAAATAATAAAGCAAATACAGTTTGTGTTTGTAGCTTTAGTCCTGATGATCCTTTTCACTTCCCTGTGACCTCTAATACACATTCCCTTCAGAAATAACCCCGAGTCAAATTTAAATGACCAAACCTCCTATAGTCCATTATAATGAAGCCCTAAGCAGTCTTCTTTCATTCTCATCAAATTGAATCAGCGGCACTAGAACAGCCTCATACATAAATGTCCCCACAACAATCTGAAGGCAGGCGGCTGGGTCACAGAGGCCCTTTGGGAGCACGGCACAGAAATTCAATTACGCTGGACTTTGGCTGTGAGGTCAGGGCTTTTTCACTCTTCTGTTTCTCGGTAAAATGGAGCTGGGCAAAACACATATTTATTTTGGCTTGGATGAAAATGGGTCTTCGGGGGAATTAGCAGTTTTATGAAGCAGCATCAGCTTGGCTTGATCAACGAATAAAGGCAGAAATTGTGGTTCCCTAAGGATCTCAAAAAATCTTAAAAAATCTTACATGTCATTTGGGAAATTTAAGGTTGTGAAGGTTTTAAAGGTGCATTGTGTAACTTTTCTGGTGGACGATCTGCCATCTGATTTTGTGTTGTGGAGATTTGACGGCTTTGTCTGAAATGTTCCATGGTAGCATTGAACTTATTTACCATTTATTCAATTACAAGTGTTTTTATTGCTTAAAAACACAAACAGGGTCACCACTCCACAGATCTGATGTGTAACTTGGCTTGGTGGTGTTTGTCTTCATATAAATTGAGATGAAGAGGTAACAGACCTTCCACCATAACAGTTACACAATGCACATTTACGGGGCAGACAAAGCACTTTTGCTTTTTAGTCAGTTTAGTTCCTTGGCATATAAACATTAAAACCACTCTGCACTGAAGATGCTCTGGTATTTAATCAAATCAACTCTCCTTTATAGAATTCTATGGGCCATCGTAACTTCAAAGGACGTTTTGTGAAAATACATTTGTCTCTCAGGGACATAAGGATCAACCTTTAAAGTAGCAGTTACTCACACCAAAAGATTTTAACAAAACATACAAAATTATGTTTGATGTCTAATTCCAAGTCTTATTTTTTATATGTTTCTACTCAAAATAGCATGCTCTGAATGGATGACCCTAACCCTGGACCACTGCAAACTGTTTCAAATGAACTAGTTTTTCACCTTTTTCCGACAGTATAAATCTGATACAGCTCCTTTAAGCTGCGACTGAAAAACACAAGCAGGTAGCACTGAGAGAATGGAACAACAGAACATAGCAGAGCGGACGTACCCACTGTGGCATGTGCCCTCCGTCCGGGTCGTGGTGGTGGTACTGCAGAACCAGCACTGTGGCAATGACGGACAGACCCACGATCACCATGGTGGTGGCAAAGTACTGAGCTGAAGAGGAGCATAGCAGAGGAGAGAAGAATACACTCTGAGAATGAGACAATATATCCACATTTTATCATTTAGAATCAAAATCTCAGAGAGGAAAGTGACTTTGACATCTGAAAAAAGACTAATGAATTATTATTACGAGTAGAAGTAGTAGTAGTACTAGTAGTAGTACTAGTAGTAGTAGTAGTAGTAGTAGTAGTAGTAGTAGTAGTATGCAGTAGTACCTATGAGGGGCACAGAGTCAGATGTTGCAGGCATAATCTCAGCGACGAGCAGCATGAAGACAGTGAGAGACAACAGCACCGTGATCCCTGTCAACAACAGAGTACATGATAGTACAGTATGCTTTATACAACCGTACTGTGATCCCACATGATAGTACAGTATACTGTATACAGCAGTACTGTGATCCCACGTGATAGTACAGTATGCTTTATACAACCGTACTGTGATCCCACATGATAGTACAGTATACTGTATACAGCAGTACTGTGATCCCACATGATAGTACAGTATACTGTATACAGCAGTACTGTGATCCCACATGATAGTACAGTATACATATATACTGTATACATATCAGTTGTCATGATATACAAATATATATGTATATACATGTATGTATGTATACATACATGTATATATGTATGTATTTATATATGTGTATGTGAGTTGTCCTCATGTATGTGTATGTCTGTGTTGTCTGTGTTGACACTGGCAGGTGTCACTGAGTTCATTGCTTCTGTCTGTTTAACATAAAGGTCAAGGGTCAAGGGTCAGCGTTTAATGCATGCCCCTCCCTCCTCTTAAATCTACCTCTGGGTCAATACCAGAAACAACACGCAACAACGACTCGTCTGTAAAACATGGAATAAAAGCGAACCTCAGTTTCACATATGAGTTAGCACTTAAAGCTCCTTTATTTCCTAAACAGACTCTTTGAGCTTTAAGTGAGAAACACTCCTGGACACATGTTTGAGGAATCCTTTATATTAGACTTTCTACATCTCCAAACCTCAGAACACTCTGTTCCACATTGTTAAGTGAACAGCTCCTTTTTACCTTTAGTTCAGCAGAGAGGATGAAATCTTCTGAATGACTCCAGTGAAGGTGTCTGGAGTTTGAAAACACAGTGGAGCAAAGTGGAACAGAGTCTTTTGAGAGAAAATCTGGTGATAATTCTGCAGGGTTTGTGTGTTACAGATGGAAATGAAACAAAAACTCCAGGTCTGTTTGTGATGAGAAAACCACATTCAACCACAAAACAACATACAGTCCCAAAATGATTCATACCCTGACAAATTTGGACTTAAAGTTACTTTTATTCAACCAGCAAGTTTTTTCTTGATTGGAAATGACACAGGCGTCTCCCAGAAGATAATAAGACAAAATATTTCTAAGCTTTTATTTACATTTGAACAAAAAGTGGCATGTCCAGAATGATTCATACCCTTCTCAATAATCAATAGAAAAACCTTTATTGTAGATCCCTATCAGTTTGCTTACTGCAGCAACAGAAGTACTGATGATGCTCTTGTAACTACTGCCCACTTAATACTGAAACACTTAGAGGATCCTTCATCATATGCCAGAATACTGTTCATGGATTTTAGCTCAGCATTTAATACAATATTACCGAGCATTCTGCTGAAGAAGCTGTTAGATCTGGGTGTTAACAGTCATGTTATTAAGTGGTATTGGGCATTTCTTACAGGGAGACAGCAACAAGTTAAGGTTAACTCAGCGCTGTCAGATATTCAGGTTGTCAGCACTGGGGCACCACAGGGCTGTGTTAGCTCACCTCTTCTTTTCACTTTGTACACCAATGCATGCAGGAGTAGACAGGTAAACAACTATATAATTAAATTTTCTGATGACACAGCTATTCTTAGTTTACTCAGTAAAAGCACAGATGCCATCAGCTACAGGACAGGAATTGATGAAGTGGTGCATTGGTGTGAGGAGCATAACCTTGTCTTAAATGTGGAAAAGACAAAGGAGATCATTTTTGATCCCAAATCTGTCGGGGACCACAGCCCCATTAATATCAGGGGGAGGGACATAGAGCAGGTGACATGTTATAAGTACTTGGGTGTGTTATTTGATTCTCAGCTCCAATGGAGCCAGCAGGTACAGTCTGTCTGCTCAAGAATCAGCCAGCGTCTCTATTTTTTAAGACGGCTTAGGTTACATGGAGTTGACACCAATGTAATGCTGTTGTTTTATAAAGCATGCATAGAATCTATCTTACGCTATGGCATGTCAACATGGTTTGGTAACCTGTCACTCAAACTTAAAGCACAGATTTTTACCTTGACTAAAAGAGCAGGTAAAATAATGGGTGTGGCCCCAAGCTCACTTCAGCAAATTTTTGAGGAGACTGTTAGGAAGCTCAGCAGGAAGGTGATCAATGACCCAACCCATGTTCTTCACAGTCAGTTTGAGTTGATGCCATCAGGCAGAAGGTTCAGGGTCCCAAACTGTAAACTGAACAGATTCAAACATTCTTTTGTACCACTAGCTGTTAAACTGCTTAACTCAGATAATGCAGTCAAAAAATAATTATAAAAGGCTTAGGGATTGTGCAATCAAAACTGCACATAGGTATAGGGAATGTGCAATAATTATATCTAAAACTGCACATAGGTGTAGGGAATGTGCAATTAAAGCTACACATAGGCTTAAGGAATGTGCAATAATTAAATCTGCACATAGGCTAAGGGAATGTGCAATAATTATAACTAAAACTGCACATAGGCTTAGGGAATGTGCAATCAAAACTGCACATAGGCTTAGGGAATGTGCAATAATTATAACTAAAACTGCACATAGGCTTAGGGAATGTGCAATAATTAATAGAACAGAAGAATGCAAGGGCCTGTTAAGGATAATTTAAGGGTCGTGTTGGTGCATCACTCGTGGTCATACTGGTCTCATATTTACTTTGTTTTATGGTGTTTGTTTATGTGCTGCTTTGTGTTGTGTTGTCCTGTTTTTTTTGATAAAACATGTTACCCCCTGTCCCAAGACAAATTTCTCCCATGGGAGACAATAAAGGATTATCTTATCTTATCTTATCTTATCTTATCTTATTGGCTATTACAATAATCCAATGCTTCCTATAATTGCTGAACAGTTTTTTGCACGTTTCCACTGGTATTTGGACACCTCCTCGTGTCTTTCTCCTGTGTGGTGTTTTACGGAGGCAGAATCATTCAGAGGAAACACACAAATCTGCTGCTGTCAATCAATACCTGGACAAAGACTCAAAAGGTCTCAGGTCCAAACACAAACAGGGTCATGTTTGTGAGACATTTGGACCAGGAACAAGGAATTCAAACAAACCCAGTGGATGATTCAGTGAGAGAGAAACATAACCTCAACTAAAAACAACATAATGACTATATGGACTTCTTGTTGGATCTGTATGTGTTTGCGGTCAGTATGTGCTTCTGTTTTGTCTCTTATAAATGTGTTGTGAAGATCATGTACAGCAGACACACGTGTATGTGCTTCTGGATTATTGGCTGATTTTCCATAAAATTATTCTATAAACCCAGAATATTCACCACAGAACAGACCTTTGGCCCCGTGTCCCCAGGCCCCTGTGTGAGGCCCCTGTGTGTGAAGGCCCTGTGTGTTAGGGCCCTGTGTGTGAAGGCCCTGTGTGTTAGGGCCCTGTGTGATAGGGCCCTGTGTATGAGAGCCAAAGGAACATTTCCATGGAAATAACCAGATCAGGTTTGTGGAGATGCAAACTCAAGTTTTTCACTGCAACAAAAACAACCACATAAAAAAGACAAAACTTCTATTTGAGTGTGTGTTTGGTTAAAAGTGACACACTGTGGCTTTAATCAGAGCCATAGCAGAAGTGTGTGTGGTTGTTACCCAGTGAGATCTTCTCTCCAGAATCTGCAGGCAGCAGGAAGACGAGCAGAGCCAGAGTGGAGATGAGCACACAGGGGATGAGCAGGTTCAGACCATAGTACAGAGTCCTCCTCCTCATCACCACCGTGAAGGTCACGTCAGGATACGGCTCTTTACAGCAGTCATAGAAACGCTCACTCCTGCGGCCAGGGACCTCTGCCACAAACAGCACACAATATACATGTTCAATATACATGTACAGTATACATGCTCAATATACATGTACAGTATACATGTACAATATACATGTACAGTATACATGTTCAATATACATGTTCAATATACATGTACAATATACATGTACAATATACATGTACAATATACATGTTCAATATACATGTTCAATATACATGTACAGTATACATGTACATGTACAATATACATGTTCAATATACATGTTCAATATACATGTACTATATACATGTTCAATATATACATGTGTACAGGGTCCCTAACAAAGAAACCATGTACAGATACACACACACACTCATACACACAAGCACACACTTATTTTTGTTGTAGTTTTGATCAGGAGTCTGTCACACTCAGACTGTCCACAGAGCACACACATCTATACACATGTATATACGCATTATTATAATGACAGTAATAATGACAGTTTTGATCCTGATCCCTCCTGAAAGCTGAGACCAGGAGCCACAGAGGGGCCACAGTGGCTCTAGTCTACACTGTATATTGTTGTTGTGTCCTTGGACAAGACACTTCGCTCACATTGCCTCAGGTGCTCATGCACTAGTGTCTGAATGAACATGTGTGATGTATGTAACCAACCAAATAAACACAGAATAATACTCAGACTTCTGGAGTCGCTGGGGCCATGGGGCTGTTTGACAGATGCAAAAGCTGCCATGAAACATGTCTTGCCCAAGGACACAACAACTCCTGGTTGAAGATGAGATCAACTGCTGCGGTTTCAGTCGGTGAAAACTCTAGTCACATTCCATTTTATGATCTCTGTGAGGAGTTTGAAGGGTTTGACTTCAGCTACTTCAGCACTAAAAGTGAATAACAAAAACTTTGCATGGTAAAAGAGTCCATCTGGAGGACAGACACTCATTTTTCACACATTGTCACTGCACAATGATTGTCCCAGCAGGGCCACCATACATGGCTGATCTGAAAAGGTCACTGTTTTTAAACATAATCCATTTAAAGCTAATCTTTATTCTCTAAGGTTTCATGAATGCAGCTCAAAAACAAGCAGCTCACTCTGATGTGAACAGATAACACAGGTTACACCTATGAATAATGTATGAAAGTGACTTAGTGCTGTTTGTCTATTCATGTGGTTTGATGTTTTTTACTTTTATTGGATACTTTTCTTTATGAATTAATGTGAACATAAATTATACACTTTTGTGTCATTATTCTTACCATTAATAGGCAAAATTACTATAAAATTTACTTCAAAATGCATTCAGTAAAATCAGTCATTCAAATCTGGATAATGTATTTTCCAAAATGTGACAGTCATTGCCCAACAACAGCTCCAGTGCAAGAGCAGGTTTAACTGAGGCCAGACTCAGGCAGAGGAGGAGAGGAGGAGACATTTATATGAAAATTCTGTGTCACATCCCACTAAACCTGCAGCAGAGCCACAGCTAAAGCTCCAGTGACACCAGAGTCCTTTTTTTCCTCCACAGCAGAGGTCTTTAAACGCCTCACGCTGAATGGATTCTCCTCACACATAATGAGCTGGTCCCAGTGTCTTTCAGGATGATCCGTCTGAACAAAGTAAAAAGTGTGGATGAAGTCACAGAATAAGAACTCACTGATGACTATATGAGGAGAACTGTCATCACTGAGGTCTGCTCCATCAGGCTGAGGGGCACACGGCACATTTAAACTCCAGACTTAACTCGCACTGAACCTGGCCTAACAACAGCAGTTGTGCCCTTTGGCAAAACACTTTGCTCACATTGCCTAGTATGAATGTAGAGTGTGAGAGAGTGTTGGTAGTGGTCAAGGGGGCAGGGATATAAAATGGCAGCCTTGCTTATATTGGTCTGCCTCAGGGCAGCTGTGGCAACAACAAGAGCATACCACAAGTGAAAATGGAAAGAAGGCACAAAAAATGTTAAAGAGACTTCGAGCATCCAGAAAAGAACTATCCTTGAACTAGAATTATCCTTTTCAGAATGATAAAAAGTTACCATAGCAATTATCCATCCACGTTCTTCCACTTATCCGGGGTCAGGTAGCAGGGCCAGCAGTCTAAGCAGGGACTCCCAGACTTCCTTCACCCCAGACACTTCCTCCAGCTCCTCCGGAGGGACCCTGAGGTGTTCCCAGGCCAGCTGAGAGACATAGCCCCTCCAGTGTTTCCTTGGTCTTCCTTGAGCAGCGGCTCTACCCCAAGCTCCTCCCGTGTGACTGAGCTCCTCATCCTATGTCTAAGGGAGCACCCAGCCACCCTATGGAGGAAACTCATTTCGACCGCTCGTATCCACAATCTTATCCTTTCGGTTATTACCCAGCGCTCATGACCATAGGTGAGGGGAGGAATGGAGACTGACGGTAAATCGAGAGGTTTGCCTTTCGGCTCAGCTCCCTCTTCACCACACCGGTCCGATACAGCGACCACATCACTGCCGACGCTGCACAGATCCACCTGTCAATCTCATAGCAATAGCAGCACCATATCAATTAACAACTCAAAATGGAATGTATGTTTTAAATGTTCAACTGTCCTCAAAATGGCATCATATAACAAGAAGCCCATGAATAACACATTACTTTTAAGTCAGGTCAATTTTCTATTATACTTTCCTCAAGTTTCTTCTTTTGACTCATGTCAAACTGTGGTAAGTTTTTAACACTGGTTAGTGCTGTGACAAAAAATGAAAGATCGATAGATCATGATCTAAACTTTGGTCGATTTTGATGATAAGGGAAGTGCATTTTAATCGACAGGTCTACAGCCAATCGTGTGGCTGTAAGATTATCAACACAAAATCCTGACAGCCTGCTCTGTATTAGAAGTTCTCCAGTCTATGTTTTCAATGGAATAGATGGAATAAGACTGAATCAAAAGCCGAGATAGATGAATATGAGGAAAAAAAACATTGTGACTCTTTTTTCCCCATTATCATTACCCTACCAAGCCATAAAGGAACATGAAATCCATCTGCACTTCAGCATCATATACTGCATTAAAAATAACCAGAGACTTTTGAGCATTACGTACAAAGATGGACATTTTTACTTGGATAATTACTGTTATATTATTATTGCAGCTATTTTGCCAGGATAACCATGCCACACATTCTCATACAGCTCCATGTCTCTGGTGCAGTAGCTTCTCTGAACCCGGTGGCCCTCTCTGAGCCGGTATATTTCCTGGTTACTCTCCTGATTAATCCCCATAAAACAGACCCCCATCTTTTACCTCGGTGCTCCTCGCCTGGCTGCCTGCGTTTGGCCCCTCACCGCTACGCACCTCACTACACTGGTTTCCATCTCCACTCTCCAACACAGAAATAAATGGGGGTCTGCGCGGTGGAGATTTTCAATTAGTTTTGATATGAACGGCCCATTGGCTCCTCTCAGGGGGCGAGCGGGCGGGTGGGGTCTTTCATTTCCTTCTCCAGAACGGAGCTCTTTCATCGGGCACGCGCTCCAGAGTGTGCCCTTTGAGAATCCTGCGTGAGACCTGTCAGACGTAGACTTTATTCCGGGGCTTTGATGTGAGGGGCTGCACAGGGGAGTAGTGGTCTGCATAAACACAGTGTGACGCTCCCAAATGGGACTCGCAACAATGAGCTTGATTTTAAGCTTTAAAATAGAAAAGGGCAGGATAAGGCTTTCAAGTGGAATGGATGGTGATATGATGTAACAAGGATATTTTGTTTATTGGAATACAATTGATCTCATGTATTTAATGTATTTAGTTAAGGCCCCCAGTGTATTTAAAATCTTCCAGTTGCTGGTAGTGGTCGTTACCTTGACAACACCCCGCTGCTCTGCCCTTTCTGCGGTTAAGAGACTTGATGACAGGGAGTAGTTAGTTAGTTCTGTGATTTTGTTTTATTTTTCTTAAATGTAATGTAAATGATAAATATCATATAACATAAAATAACAACATCTAAGTGTTTTTGGGGTGTTTTTGTCATTGTAGTGTTTTGAATTAATTGTGCTGTTTTATCAAGTTCAGTGCAGTGGAAATTATCTGTAAAATAATAATAATAAACATACAAGAAGACTGTCTATGTTGGTTTATTACATTTGCACGAGTAAAAAAAATGGTCTCACTACAGAGGGACAGAGTGTCTGCTGCAGTGAGCCCAGAGCAGTGGGGTAACAACACTTAAATACTGTCTGAGGTCCAGGCCCTTCCCCAAGAATAGTTTGCATTTAGGTCAGTCTGGCCATGTGGCTTTTTTAGCTTAGACATGTAACATCTGACGTGTGAAAGAAACTGTAGACATGTAAATGTTAAACCCAAAGGTACCTGTAGACTTCCTGTGAGACTAAAGGATTAGACAAACCATAATGTGGCTTTTAAGACTTCTTACAGAAAAACACACATAATGCTCACATTTCCACCGCATCATTTAGCTACGGAGGAGGGTAAATGCAGTGGATTCATTGTGTTCCATTGTTCTGTTGTACTTCAAATGTGTATGTGGTGTCATTATAGGGGCCGAACCTGATGCCAGTCCAACACTCTACCCACCTGTGCTGTTTCTGCTGTTGTGTTTTGTGCTTGATGGAAGAGTCATGTACTGTTTGGTGTATTATTAAACTCTTACCTGTTGGTAGTTTCATGTAACTTAACTGTAACATGATTGATTTGATGAATAACCGTATTTTCCGGGCTATTAGATGCGCTCTTAAGACTCTAACCCTATCAAAAACGACCGCGCGCCCTGCAATCCAGAGCGCCCCATATATGAATCCACTCAGGTGTCCCAGCACGACTTCAGTAAACTACAAAGCCGCACCACCCACAGAACACACAAACACACACGGAGCAGACAGCGACCGCACAGTGAAACACACCCACAGACACACTCATCACTCCACGCCGACGAGAAACAGAACGGAGAAACGAACCGAAAAGAGAGTGCAATGTGCCACATTTAGACACGACTGCACAACTGAGTCACTGCGAACACGCCGACAATCCGTTGGTC